CCATCAGGAAGCCTAGCTAGGAGCTAGGTAAACAATACCAGGATCCACCACCGTCCTGATATCAAAGTCGCATGGTAACAAATCTCCCTGTAATCCAAAAAAGCTACAACTACCCGTGGTGGTGAAGACCTGAGGCGGACTTTGGCCAGGGTGACCTCGAGATTCCAGGGAACCACAATGGCTGAGCCAACAAGTCTCCTAAAAATGGTTTTTAGGTTAGGGCCAGCACAGCCAGTGAGGAGGGGCCGTTCAAGTATCAAGTAATACACGAAGGAAAAGCGGAGCAGAACCTTCCTTATGAGTGGCATTGTCGTCTTCGGATCTCTGACAGAGGTTATTGATCAAATTTGCAAGTCCCCACATAGGTGTTCAAATTTTTGAGCCCAACGATCTCTTCATTATTCGTCCTCGAGGGAAAACACATAGCGGTGCGGTGCCACTAGCTCATCGAGAGTAGAGCTCAGCAAGGAGGACACAGAAGCAACTTTTTCTGGAAATAAATCGGTGGACTGGTCATAAACCCAGTCCTCGTAGCTGAGACCCTCGAGCAGTATCTATTTTTTGAGACCTAGTTGAAAACAACTTGAAAAACAAGTATTACTGAGCAGCTCATTTGGTGTCATAAGACGAAATATGTGTGGGAGGGGCAGTGGTGTGACAGGAGGAAAGACAAGTGATCGTCGAGGAGTCCCAGAAATAGACATCAACAGCGACCGAGTCCGTACAGAAACCAGCCATAACGGCTTGAGCAAATTGTTAAGCTGAGACCTTGGGGATGTGTGAGAACGAGCAATTTAAGCACTTAAATAGGCTGAAAGTTTATGCATTTCATCTAGATCAAAGTTTCGACCAAGATGGTTCGATGAAGCTTTTGAGGATGCTATAGTTATTTCATTTTTCCCTCCAAATGATTCAACCTAAACCGATGCAAATTGAATTGCAGAGATTTCGTGGATGAAAAAATTGTGCAGAAAAAACAATAGCTGAAATATACTTGTTTATTTGTTCATTTGAAGTGATCTTATCCAGCTTATAGGAGGTTGGTATATGTTGTTGTTGTTGTTGCTATTGTTGTTCTTGTTGCCGTTGTTGTTGGTCGATGGCCGGCGTTTCGGTGATTTCGCCTCCCTCAGAGCCGTGATATTGCGAGTGGAACACGTAGTAGGAGCAGCAATAACAACGACAACTTGGACCAACCTCATATCGGCTCAACAAGGTCGGTTCATAAGAACATATAAATAAATATATCGATTATTTATGCCGAGTTTTACAGAAGGCGGTCTTTTGAGTAATAAACAGCTGGAATTTCCAAGCACCCAACGATATGCATTTTCTACGTCTACGTGGTTAGAGGTTCAACATTCGCTCTGTGAAGCGCCTCCACCCTTCACATCCCTAACCGCCAATCTGGTTTCAGAAAGTGTGCAAACTTGCTTATCAAAGACAAGGCATCGATCTAACCTTCAGCTCTAGCAGTCCAATTTGCGACGCTACATACCAATTTCCCATCCACTTCCTTTGAAAATCCATTCGCTACAGCAAATAGCTGCTTTTGAAGATTATTTGCAGAGAAATCCACTATGGCTCCTAGTGAGGGTGAGTGGTATATTCTTCGCGGATCTGGCATCCAACGGGGAAGAACTGGTATTTTTACTCATTAATAAAAAAATGACAACCGATGAACAAGAGCCGTTAGTAATTGGATTCCTTCCTAGAGATGTTAAACGCACTGCGGGAAGACCACCGACTCGATGGTCTGAGTTTTTCACAAAAGCCTAGAAGAAAGATATGATGCTTGATGAGTTCCTAAAGCGAGCAAAACCCACTGGGCCCTCCTGCTCGAGTTACTTGACGAACAACGGGACAACAGGTGACACTACAGGTGATACCTGTGAATAAAAAATTTACCAGAATTGCTTTAGGTGCCAGTAAAACAATTGCTCGTTCTCATAGACGTTTTGGAGAAACAAATTGCATGGGTGCAAATAACATCTGAAGAAAAGTTTGGAAAACCAGAAGGTTTTCACATAGGATTACTTCAGCTGAAATACTCTCGTTTACCGTCGGAAATCCGCCACCAAGTGTTTTATTTGCTTTGCAGGTGACGAGTTACATGGATGTCAACCTATTATTTAAAGAAGCTTTATTGCACAAATAGGGTCATCAAAACTAAACAAAAGTTTGATGTTCCTATGCAAAATTCATCTAGACGTAAATCAGTAACAAGATTCTTAGGTATCTTGGAAGAAATGTCGTAGTGACATACATTTGTGCCCAGCGAAATTCCACTCTCCGTTGCAGTGAAGTTGGGCCTATCTACTCAACAAAATAGTGGACATTCAAGGAAATCAGCAGAAGACTCTGAAGACCTTCATCGCGAATATCGAGACGTGCAGTTGTTGAGCTATGGTCTAATGGTCGCCATTAGGTGGAATAAGCGTAAACAGTTAACAAGTAAGAGGGAAACTCACGACATAATCATGCGATCATCGGCATGCCACCTTTCACACTCTTGCTCGTAGTTCTTATGAGGATGCGAATGGTGACCCACTGATTGTCCCTGGATACTGCAATGACCGCAGTTTCAACTCCATGACCGATTTGGCTATTCGAATGACCGAAAGAAAATTTTAGGAGGAGAGAGAGAAAAAAATAGGGCCGAATATAGATTGGTTTTTGGAGACACTGCCAGTAGCCACCAACTCCTGCACTGTAACACTGACTGAAGGGTACGATGGCATTCGATTCATGTAGCGAGGATGGCGTCGAAGCGAAGAGATATACAGATGCACATACGATACGTGAAGACGGACGTCTAATCATCTAATTTACTTACTCTATACTGCTTCCTCAAAGAGGTGATTTCTTCAAGAAATCCGAGGAATCTTCTTCGGTGCATGAGTTGTGTCACTCACCACTTCTAACGAGAGAAGCGCAACCTCCAATAGAAAACCTAGATATAACATCGTCCATAACACTACCGGTTGCTGTCATTCATAGCGTAGTAAGCCCATGAACTTGACTTTCGTGATAAGTTGATGAAATCTTGAGTTGTTTCCACTGAAGGAGTGGGATCGATACCAATCACAATTAATGGTGCTGACTGGGCGCATTCGCCCGCACAATCTGATCCGAGAATCCTCCAATGTTTAACTTTTTGATAATAGGCCGCTTTATAGGATCTAGGGCTAGGAAGCACTAAAATCTTACTGCTTTATGACAATCGTAAACTATTCACTGTGATGCACAACGCCATATTTTCTTTCTAATGCTAGCAAACTGTAAGGCCTGCGGCATGAAGCGCGAATACTACCGCGCACAATTGCATTATTGGCTAATGTGATTTATTCTTTTTTATATTATTGTTATTTTATGGCTCTAGGCATTATCTCAATGCAAGAAAATGAGCTCTTCAAGCAGCAGCCGAACCTCCACGCGGAAAGTTCGAAGGCCTTCATGGATGACGGATGTGAGGGAAGGAATCGAATGCAGGAATTGCTGTGATTGCCACACTTGACGTGACGAGGGTCGTGTAAAATAAAATTTAAAAAGTGCATTAAAGATGGAAGAACTTACTGAATTAGTGTAGCTGCCCAGGCTGAGGCAATTTCTTTGGTGAACTTCAGTTTTAACTGAATTACCACAGATTAAAGTATCTGAATAGCTCTTGTATCGGGTGACAGTGAAGCAGTGAAACGAAAAGAGCGCAAAAAAGGGAAGAAAGACGCAGAGAAAAGGAGAAAGTGCGGGGCTGGAGGAGAGAGAGGTGATGGAGAGAAAGGAGGGTAGGGAGAGGGGAGGGAGACAACGAGAGAGTGAGAGAGGCGGAGAGAGAAGAGAGGAGATGGAGAGAAAAGGGCATTGAGGGAGGTGAGAGAGTGTGGGAGTGAGAGAGAGAAGGGAAGGAGATGGAAGGAGGAGAGAGAGCAAGAGAGAAAGAGTGCGAGGGGGTGAGAGAACATTGCTAGCTGCTTCACTTTAAGGCACTCAGGCCAACTCGTACCGACTGGCCTTGTTGTCTATTTTCAATGGGAATCTGCACAAGCATGTTCAGAAACAGCTCAGCTGCGGGGGGAAGTTTCACGAGTTCATTCCACAATGCTAACCAAGAATTCACCCACCTTCTTGCCGTCCGTTGTTTGAATACGTGAAATTATCTCGCCGTTTGGAAAACGTTTTATGTTCATTTTTTTCACATTATTCAACTGATAGGTCTTCCCAATGAGTGGCTGCCTGAAGTGGATCATCTACATATCGTAGAATATCGCCGTAAACGGGCACCATGACTTAAACCTATTCGTTAACAAATGGCAAAATTGTCTTGCTAACTGTGATGGAAATACGCAGTGTTTCTTCGAAACAAAAGTCGTGTATGGTTCTAGAAGAGTGGTTTACACTGCATATTTTAAACGCTAGTACGATGTTGCGCCTCGGTCTCACTGTCCTCCATCCCTCCTAAGTAAACTATCGGTTACTACCAGGGCGTCTTTGGGAAAACGAAGAATCTCAGACGGTTCGTCGGTAAACCACCGTATATATGGGCCATATATGATTCCAGTCACTTTTAAGATGCTTTATGAAGTCGAATGCATGGGCACTTGCTAGGGACTGATTAACCTTTACCCTTTGCTTTTCATGTATTAGCAGCGACCATTAGAAATACGAAATTCGCAACGGCCCTTATAAACTCGCAGTGATTTTGGTCCGTGTCATCGGTCTATTTTACCGATCAATGAGGAAACGTTTGGAAATAAATACGCCTCGCATCACTAAATCTTTCAAAAATTTGAACATAGTCACGCGGCTGTTTACATAGGGTCACTTTAATAGAGGAATTCCGGACGAGTTTCACATTTACAGCTTCCATTTTTTTGAGAGCCACTTCAGCTGGTTTTGAAAAACATTTCGACTTATAACACTTTAATAAAAGTTTTCGATGCTGTTTTGATTCCAGCTGCAAGGATTTTTGCCTGCAGCACCTTCAGCTACGGAACGGTTTATCAGTACAGTACGGGCAGCTGCGTGTCGTGAAATCCTAACCCAGGGCATATGTCGAGTAAGTAGTACTTGTAAATGATGAGCTTGCCGTCCTTGGTGATCACTGCCAGACGTCGCTCCCATTTCGACATCGATAGAGCCTTTTCTACATACCCACACATCAAGCCTGGTTCACTACATAATTGCTCCTGAAACAAACAACTCCTAATGATGTGAGAAGTCAGAAAACACACCACTTCGAGAACGATGTTCACCTGTTAGAAGCGTGACCGCCAAGCAGGAATTTTTAGTCACTCATTTGAGAATTAGTATGGAACGACTTTTCTCATAAACCCGTTAACAATTCGCCTCCAAAAATGATTCTGCTTTGCGTGGTATTTATTTCACAGATTGCCCAGAAAAAACCACGTGGGAAAAACCATTTGCCCAATAAGTAGTAGTCTGGTCAGGACTTGTGCTCGTCATCCAAATAGACTTTGCACTAATACGGAAGTTAAAGTAGGAGAATCAATCCACAGGTTAACACCGTTCTTGTGGAAACACTCACCCGAGTTGGTAGATTCTCATCTTGACAGCGTTTGAAACACAACATCTGCCTTACAGCAGGTTGAAAATGGAACCTATAACAACACCACATTGAAAAATATTAAACTTATCACCGGTATCCGTAAACACTTCTTAATCGTGATAACACTTGCATTCTCGTGTTTCATATCTTGCGGTTGCTGTGATATGATGACTTTATCGGCTAAGTAAAAATCGTAGTGGAAACGTTATTCCTCGTCGGCGTTGGTTTGATTTCAGCCCAAAGAAGGTTTTCATCTATGTGGGGTCAAAAACTCCTTTGCACTGAAGGCTTGTCCTTCGAAATCTCTATTCTTCGTCAGTTCCTTCTATGAACTTCAGGAAATTCGTATGCTCAATAGGTGGCACTAGAACTAGATTAAAAGGTCCAGTTACATCGATTGACTTTTATCCACTACTTACTATTGACTTTTAACTATACCTTAAATATTGCTTTATAGAATGGACACTAGCATAGACAACAAAAATTTTACCTTTTAATTAATGTCGGTGTTTTAAGGAAAACAGTGTTGGCTTCGGATTGCTGTGGACACAGTAAAATTCATTTTCTTACTATTATTTACCTGCCATAGCCCATCATCACATCTACAGTGCAGATCTCAGCACTTCCTCAAATGTCTTCGAGCATTTCGCTGGTTCAATGTTTTGCTTCAATAAGCAGACACGAGGTTGTTATTATAGGATTTATTAGGATACAATAGCTGACGTTTCGGCGGCTTCGCCTCCTTCAAAGCCTGGAAAGGTCAAATTGAGATGAGTTCTACTCAGTCATACACTTTCATAACCCCAGCAGATAAAACTTGACAAATCGATTTGCATTCGCATAAGAAACAGCTTCATTCAAACACCTACCGTTTATTTGTTGTAAGTATTTATGTTAGTTGATGGATAGCCGCCGCACAGAGTAATACCTGGGCGATAACTGTGTCTGTTTCAGGTCATTAGATTAGCCTGAGGTATGGCGCCAAGTCACGCGTGATGGCAAGACACTCCTCCTTGCGGTTCATTTTTGAATTTTTAGCATTGATCCAAAGCGCTCCAAGAGTTTTACGCGCCGATGTTTTCGATTCCTGCGTAAGGATAGTGACTCCTACCTCAAAATCTTCTCCGTTGTGTTCCTGCATCCTATGCGCGCCTAGTGGAGTGTTTGGTTATAATTTAGATTTACCGACTAGATGTTCTTTTATGCGGACGCAGATTGGTCTACCCGTTTCGCCAACATATTCGTGCCCGCACGCTTTACAAGAGATCAGATAGGCTGTACCTGAACTCATGCAATCACCGTCTCTACCATTTGGGCAAATTATGCAGCTTTTCGTTGTACACAGACGGTCATGTAGGCGGTTGCGAACTAGCTGACGTCTTAGAATGTCCGATGGTATTTCTATCACTCTTAAGGAATTCTCTAGACCGGCTCTTATTAAGAAGCGTTTTATAGCTGCACTTATTTCGTTTGAAATAAAGAGCAACAGGAACGGAGCCTTGTTTTCGCTAGAATTATCGCTCTGGGGCGTGGGATTTCCTCTATGCCCCTGCCGAGAAGCTACACTTTCGTAACCATTTGAAATGGCTACTTGACGCGCCAGCGTCGAGGATTTTTTCCTCTGCTCTCTACCTGTGCACACGCTGGCGGTGGTTCGAAGCATATTTCTTGTAAGCGCCCTTTTACGCCCTTCTAGTGTGTGAGGGATGAGAGGAGCGGTAATGAACCACTATATTCTTACTGCTTGGCTTTCGATACCATTTTGTGTTGTAGCCATTCTCGGATAGGTTAATTTGAAGGTTTAGAAATGGAAGCCAGTTTTCTTTCGGTTTCTCACGGGTGAATTTTATGTACTCTGACTGTTCATTCAATAACTTAAAGCAATTGTCCATCTCCTCTTGTGTGCAGCCGATGACAAAACAACCATTTATATACCTACAGTAGAGTAACGGCCTGAGATCGATTACTGGTGCTTTAGACATAAAGGCAACGGCAAGGGTTGGTGCCAGTCGCTGTCCCATTGCCAACCCTCTAATTTGTGCGTGATATTTCTCGGACCATCTGAAGGTCGGGCAGTTTAAACAGACCTTTAGGAAGACCATAAGCTGCTGAATCGAAAAGCCATACATGTTAATTGCTCTTTCCTGTTGCTCAAGAAGCTCGGGGTTGTCTTGCATTGCGGAGTCGTTCGACACGTTAGTGTAAAGGGCGGTAACGTTGAACGACTCCATAACGTACGCGATGCGTTGCGAAATGTCTGCTGATTTTGAACCTGCTGCGCTTACCGTTTTAGCCCATTCGGTGTTCAATTTTTGATTTTGACTTCTGAATTCCTTTTCAGTAGATGCGCGATAAAGAGATGCGTCTTCAAGATGTTTTTCTGTTATATCGATTTTGCTGGTTGCATCGGTTGCTGGCTGAGGGTTTCAACTTCTTTATGAATGTCGTCAAATGCTGGTCGAATCGATTCTTAGCAATATTAGAGATAGCCGAGCTAACGCTTTCCCACGCGTATTGCAAGAGTGTGCAGTGGAGTACAACGAACCAGGACCTTACTTCCTAACCGACCGTATCATTAACGACTCGGCTTCCTCCAGTAGCTTCACTAGTAAACTTTGCTAAGCGACCAAAAGATTAATGGAGTCGACATCTTTGTGGTGGGACGGCTCGATTATATAGGAATACCAAGTAGTTAAGACGATTCGCTCGGAATTTGTTACTCGCCTTTGTGTACGCCACGCGGGACTTCTTGCAGATAGCAGTCACAATGCCGGAAGCCCGAAACTTGGGTAATTAAACCGCTTATTACAATTATACAACAAACATAGCAATACAACTTTACAAATAATGCAACAATGATACGGGCTGTGAGTAGGCGTAACCTGATCACTGGTGTTCAGGTTGCTTGTGACTGAAGAGATTGGGATAACGGTACAACTGTGTAATTAATGCAACGGTAATACAATAATGCGTGATATTTGGCGATATGTAAGCTGGGTGGATAAAGGCGGAATTGAAATGGTAACAAGTGATACACTTGAAGGAATTAACGCGGACACTGGTGTTGGAGCACTAAGGACTTGAGGGACCGGAAGCAGACCGGTCGAACGCGGCTAAGATTTCAGGACCAGTCCTGTGGGCTGCCTGTATTACATCTGAAGTGGGTGGAGCTCTGCTAGAGAGAACTGAAGGCGGCGTCCGGAGAGGGGTTGCATGTGGAATGGTGCAGGTGTCTGTTCGGAGACTTTTTTGGAACGACAGATGCTGAAAAGTGCATTCAGCTGACTGCTGCTGATTCCCTTTTTCCAGCCACCTGTGAGGCAATTGCATGAAACGGTTGTTAAGAGATAATTTACCGAATGTGCAAGGATAGATGTATGACGATTACGAATAGATAGATGTTGTAGAAGGCATAAGGTTATAATTGTTCTACATACAGAACATTCCAATATTCGTGGAGAATGTTCTCTATAATCTTACGAATAAAGCGCATACTCTTTCAATCTATTATGGAGGGATGCTGACTTTTTAGAGTCCGCAAACATTTCTTCTTTTGTCGAGAGTCATGTCTCGAGTAGCAAATTTATCAGCTGACGGGCATGCAGGTCACGACTTTGCTCCTGAAGGTATCGGGTATCTTGGAAGGCGACGGTGGTAAGCACTTTTTTACTTCGTCGCTACTCATAAGCGATGACTGTTTTTTTTTTCGCCGTTACTCTGTGCCATTCGTTAATCATAAAGAATTTTTTGTTCGTTTAAAGTGGCAGAGGAAATCGTCTAGGATTTCCCCAAAGACTATTGGTACGGTACCATAACTTCTCTTATGGACAGCAGACATTTCAGAATACGTTGGTGTAAGAATTTATATTCGACGTAATCCACCAGTTAAAACAAGCAAGCTCGTAAATGAAACACTCGCGTAGAAAATGTAATCATTAGAAGAGGCAAACATGAATATATAAAGCTAAAATTTATGCTAAAATCCTATTTTGACAAGTAATTGACTCTTTTTTCACTTTTCAAGAAAATTTTCTTCTATACAGTATGCTTATGTAGATTCGTCTACGATAATCGTACAGCCGTAGGTATGCTAGGCGTGTAGGCAGTCTCTTTCCTCGTCAGGATATCTTCCAGCCAACTGTAAGATGCCCAAATTGAAAACCTTTGCCGGCTGTTTTGCAGTTGTGATGTATTCGGACGGAATGAAGATCGTCAACTTGCGTTGACACGGCTGAACAGGCAATTTAGACGGGATTTATTTCGAGAATTTATAGGGAAATACTACCTTACCATAATACCATCGTCGCAGTCGTGATAAATATTAAGCTTCGGCTCGATTTCGCTGACCTGAAGCTCGAAGAAATTTCCGCACTTTAATACAAAATGCTACAATGTTTCAGGAAACTTTTATCGGAATCCAAAATGCCCAAGTGTTTTGCACGCCAGCCATCAAGTGCCCCACACTTCACGCAATGGGCGGGTCTTACGCGGAGACAATAGCTACTATCAACGAGATACATCAAATTTTCCACATCTTCTCACATATTAAAATGCCAACAGTTTTCTAGTATTTTGAATCTAAGAAAAAAGATGCACTATGGCTTACTTCGTCAGAAGAACCGCTTACTTTAAACTTTCCATGAGTGTCTGTCTCCGCAGAGTCCATCAGCTCATCTGGCGTTACTGGAAACATTTCAGGTAAGTTCGTTTTCAAACTCAGTATACCAGCGATTTTCTGTTTATCTTTTTTATGCGGTTTTTATGGGCTTTTCGGCTCAAGCATTTAAGAAAAAATGAATGCTAAACGGATTGGGGGACGGACTGGTGACACTAAGCAGACTAAACGGATGCGCAATATATACCCTGCCTTTGAAAAGAGTACGCAGTAAATAATAAGTTAAAGGTAAATAATAAGCTGGTACAGAGACAACATTGTGATTACAACTAGAGCCTCAGCTTAATTGGGTGCGTTGCCGATTTGGGCTCACTAGATCAATCCCGCTGACGGGTGATTGTTGATCGCCGAAATCGATAAAACTAGCTGAGAGGAAGGCGAACCGAATGACCCGCATGGTGTGGTGGTGAAGTGTGCCACTCACCGGAAAGGACAATAGCACGCGTTCGTTCCCCACTGCATACACCGGCGGTCCGGAGTTTTCCAAATATCTCAGCATCATTGAAGTTACATTTTACAATATATGCCCTGCCACTAAAAAGAGTAGGAAGCAAATAATAAATTAAAATCGTGACTAAAAGGATTGTTTTCACATTTTTTCCTTGGTAGAGAGACAGCATTGTTTTGTGCTGACCACCATAAAATGTTCCGACTGAGCTTGAAGTCAACTTTATTTATCGAAATCAGAAGAACTAGAAGCTGACATTTTTCCCATAAAATAAGGTCTTTTTTCATTTAGAAAGAATGGGATACTGGAATTCTTGGCGAATTCTTCGAAGGTTTTTTAGCAGCGATACAGCTGTGAAAAGTTTTTCTTTGAAGGAAGTTAACAAGGTGCAAGCCCAGTAAACACCATGGCCGACGTGGAGTTTCGTATCAGAACTCGTTCAAGTTCTATAGCGTTAGCTTGCAAGTTGTACAGCGATGTTATGTAAAACAGTGAACGTTTTTTGTTGTCCACGTCTTGTTACTCATGATGCTAGACAAGCAAGGAAACCAAACAAAAGTAGCCATATTTTCTTCCAAATGATGTTCGGAATATGCTTTAGGGACCTCATGGACACTTAATTCCAACCTTTTTGTGGAACATTCGCAGTCGTCGTATAGAGCCAACCTTCTACCCGATGTCATATTATCATAACAAATGGGTCGCTCTCGTTGTGTAAAAGAAGCGATGCTTCCAATTCCGACCTTTAGGAACGATAAATAATTATTGCATGGTCTTTTTAAATAACGTCTTAGGTAATCTTTGGATGGGCAGCTCCGATTAGCAGCCTCAGAGCCATCGAAACTTTTCAGGCAATAACTGAACCTAAGCGCCAACTTGAAGACCTCAGTGGACGTTGCATAATTGAAAACGAAAAGAATTAAAGAATTTGTGGAGTCGTCGCAGTATATGTAACGGTGGATCATGTGGAACATACTTAATGCTTGATACTTGAATAGCCCGTCCTCACTGGCTGTACGGGCCCCAGCACAACCTCCATTCTTCGGAGATTTGCTGGTTAAGCCATTGTGGTTCCCCGGAATTCCGAGGACGGTCTGGAAAAACTCTGCCCTAGGCCTTCACCACCATGGGCCGTCGCAACCCGTGTGGATCAGAAGGAGATTTTCCGCCGTGCGACTTCGACCCCAGAGCTGTGGTGAATCCTGGAATCGGCTTACTCCTATAGGCTTCTGATAGAAACCCCGGACTCCTTCTAAGATCGGGAGACCTGCCAGCGGCATGAATCTCCTCGCTATACATCGTATCCCGACACCTAGGAACACCTCCCAGCCATGATGAGGCGGTAAACCGTTGGGAGGCATGTGAAACATATATTACAAAAGTCTTTATAAAGTTTGCAGGAATAAAGTTAACTTCTATTTTTATATCAACATGATACATGCCTGGCACTATTGTAGACCCCTTTAATTTAACTTCGGCATGAATGATCAATGTTTTTTATTTTATTAGTAAGCTAGCTCGAGGTTGTTACAAAATATTTACTGGGCTATCGTTCCGACGTCTTCCTCTTCCTCAGAGCCGTGCTCTTTTCGGAAACGATTTTAGTGAGATGCCATACTTCTGGTGCAGTTTGTGTTACAGTGAACAGGAAGTTTTGTTGAATCTCAAAATTTACGAAAAGCTTACGGTTTTTTAAAAAGACAAACTGTTTCAGAGATAAAGCGTAAGTATTAGACATTGAAGCCAGTAATTCCAAATTCTCTCTGCACCTGTGTAGTTTTTTCCGCAAACCAAATTTTTCGGAACAAGCCGCTTTATAGGCTGTCTTTCTATAAAATTTATCAACTATCTATCAACTGTTTACTTTTTTATTTTCTGCCTTCTATAATTTTTATAGCAGAGTATTAAGCGAAATACAACCATAATATTGCTGAGATATTTGCAAAACTCTGGATGGCAGGTTTCTGCAGTGGGGATCGAACACGCTATTGTCCTCCCTGGGGCGGAACGCGTTCATCACCACACCATGCGGGTTCTTCGCTTCGACTGTCTCTAAAATTATAGAAAGCAGAAAATAAAAAGCAAACATTGTGAATTCAACTACAGCCACAGCTTAACTGGATTCAGTGCCGATGTGGTCTTCCCAGATCAATCCCGTTGACGGGTGATTTCTATCGGCACTGGTCGATAGAACAAGCTGAGAGGCAGGCGAAACGAGAGACCCTCATGGTGTGGTAGTGAACGCGTTACTCCCCGGAAAGGATAATAGCGCGGTTGTTTTCCACTGCAAACAGTGTATAAGCGGTCTGGAGTTTTGCAAATATCTCAGCATCATTGTGGTTTTGCGAACTATAGAATTATAGGACTAGTTGTGCACAAAAATTAGTTGCCTTTTTTAACTACGAACTTCAGGCACATGTGTCTCAGAGCGCTGTGAGCTTTTCTAGCCGAAACGACACACTCCATTAGCCTTTTCCAACAAGGTGCAAGCTTTTTTTTACTCCGTGACCTATTCTTTGTAGCACTTGTTTGCTAATCATTAAGCATTAAGGTGAGGTAAGATCTCCGCAAGACAGAGGACCGCTTGCATTCAATTCTCTCAATTCGGTATCTGTCCTCCTGGGACATTTATGTAAGAGAGCTCGAAAAAAGGATCAACACCAGTCGCAAAAGAATGATGCATTTTGAAGGAAGGGTGTCACGATTCTAGAGCATTTTGTCAATTTCCTAGCGACTCGTTTTTCCCAAAAATGGAATCCCCATTACTAAAGGATTTACAGTAGATGATTACATTTGGTACGTTCGGAAAATAGGCATAACCACAATGATGCTGAAATATGTTTATTTTTTATTTACTACCTTCTACAATTTTCACGGAAGGGTATTATGCGAAATCACCCACATCGATGCTGCGACGCTTGGATAGGCCGAACCACGATAACACTTTCCGGAGGTTCGCGTATTACACACTGAGCCACAGAAGCCCTTGATCTGCGATTCTTTCAGCTACTTTTCTACCTAACGCCTTTATCAGCAACCACCCGTCAGCGGGATCGGCTTAGCGAGGGCAAGTCTAGGTTAGGGGTAATCTTGAAGTGTCGAGATATTTCAACAAATTTGGCTAACGCGTGGACTTTATTCACCTTCTGAATTCGTTTGGAAACTCTGCCTGCTTGGTTTGCTGCCTATCCTTCTGTCGAGGACGATACGATTTAAGTGAAAAGCGTGTAAACGACACCGGTCTATTACCTATAGGTTTTCTGTTGTCTACAAACGAACTATACATTCCGATGGGTAACGAAACTGATAAAGTGTTAACTAAAACTCGTGATAGTTTCTTCATATTGCGTCCTAATCAATTGATAACTAACGCAGGCAGAAGTCATATAGGTCGTTTATATTGCAGCGAAATGTGTTATAAAGGAAAACCACCTAGATAGGCTTGTATAACTCACATGTGTCATCTTCATAAAGCTTCACTAGTACGCCTTCCGCTTGCTCATCTCCACATTTCAGAACACCTTCTACGGCTGTGGATTGGGTGCGACCGAATGAATGAACGAGTTCATTCAATGAAAGTATAAGAATAATATTGCTTAACATTATCTAGAAATATAATAATTAAAGAAAAGGATGCTCAATCTGTGACAAGATGGCATAGAGTTTTGCGCATAACAGGCTTACAAAAGTTTTTAAACTTCTCATGAATAGCAGATTAATGCGAAGTTCTGTCACTTAAAGAGAAAACACCTGAACGTTTTTGATCGCAGTTTGGAAGACAAAGAATTTAATTACCACAAATGCTAAAAAGAACTTGAAGCTACTGATTTGCAAAAGTGACGATAGACCACTCGATTATGATCGTGATGAATGGGTAAATAGCAACGTTCGGAGAAGAAAGGAAAACAGAAACAAGCCTGATATTGAACTAGAACTTCTTTATGTTTATGTCTTATGTTTCTATGAACTGATCTTGCTGAGCTAATGCGGGTTTGGTACAGTTGTCGTTTTTGTTGTTGTTGTTGTTGCTGCTGTTGTCGTCGTCGTTGTTGTTGTTGTTGTTCTCGTTGTTGTCATTGTCGTTGTTGGTCGTCAACATTGGAGTCCCACTCGTAACACCACGGCTCTGAGGAAGGCGAAATCGCGGAAACGTCAGCCATCGGCCAACAACAATACTAACTATAGCAACCAGGGCATCAGTTCAACAAGATTAGTTCATAAGAACATATTAATAAATATACGGATTATTTATGCCTCCGTTTATAGAAAGTCGGTCCTTTGAATAAATTCTTTGGCTTGATAAAGGAGAGGTAGGCATAGCTGATTAGCATGAAGTGTCCAACTGAACGGAAAGTTTGAACCTCCGCACTCCCTTCAATATTGAAAGAAATTGATTAATTGAAGTAGGATTACCGTAGTCAGTACAGTTGTGACAAAGTGCTGCAACAAAAATTCGAACTTCTGAATCCAATAATGTCGTCCAATTCATTTTGACTGAACGTTCATCGATGAATTTATACTGGCAGAGGTAGTCGTTCAGCTGTGCAAGGAAATGCTAATGCACAGGTTTGCTGAGTAGAGTGGATGAAACAGAGTTTCGTGCTTCAAGCAGTTCGACATCACAACGACAACTTATAAAAAAACAACGGAGCGATGTGGATAGCAATTGTGTAGCCTGGTTTTGATTAACTGGGAAAGGTGGCTCTTCGAGAGGCTTCTGATTCATTGCTGGCATTTCTGTGCTATTTCCTCACGGGCGACAAAACGTGTTTTATAAAGCGATCTTCATTTGACTTGAGCATAAATAATCAATGCCCACTTTCTCCACTAATATAGGTTAAAACTCGATTAATGTCGAACCTTACTCGGTCACCGTTTCGGTGCCGTCACTTTTTTTGGAGACTACATTGACTTTCCGGTGTGAAAAATCGACTTAGGTATAGTGTGGTTTTTTATTAACATCTAGCCATAGAGCTATAAACACCTAGAACCACAGCCAAGTTATCAGTTACGGTAGAATAGCTATCTTTTAAGTTTTATTGCTGTTGTGGAACGGTTTATTTTGAGCCCAATTCAGTTAAGACTTTCATGTCCCTAATATCCACGGTAATCATCCGCCATACGTGTTCTTCACTCGGAATACCTCCAAATCCAAATTCTTCAGACTAATCGAATTCACGATAAGCTGCTCATTAATGAACAAACTGTTTTTAAATATAACTCGTATATCATGTTGAGATATTTGCAAAACTCCGGACCTCAGGTGCATGCGGTGGGAACGAACGCGCGCTATTGTCCTTACCGGGGAGTAGCGCACTTCACCACCACACCATCCGGGTCCTTCATTTTGCCTGTCTTCAGCATAACTGGGTTCAATGCCGATTTTGGCTCACCAGATCAATCTCGTTGACGGGTGATCGCTGATGGGAAAGATCGATGGAACTAGCTGAGAGGACAATAGCGCGCGTTCGTTCCCACCGCATGCACCTGAGGTCCGGAGTTTTGCAAATAACTCAGCATTATATACGAGTTATATTTTGCAACACACTCTGCTATTAAAAAGAAAAAGACAGGAAATAAAAGGGTTAAGATTGTTTCTAAATAATGTTTCAAGCAGCTACCATAGTACTACATTACTTTCACCTAATGCACGAGGACGTCGACATAATGTCAGGTGATACCAAAAAAGTTACATAAGCACTTTATACATAAGAAAGTAAAATAAACGAAGATAAGTTAAGAAAAAGAATTTCCGTTACAAAAGACACAGTGGTCGACAGCTCAACCTGTGCTAAGCATGCGTCAAATCCCTTCGAGGTCAGCGAGTTGGTGCTTCATGTATTACGGAAAACTTGATCCTATCCACAGGAGCCAGTGACTATGTGTGGTAAGGACACGAGAATGCAAGAGTGGAGCTATCCCAACATTGCAGAGAAAAATTGCGAAGGCAGGATTCAATAATACGCATGAGCAGGCAAGACCTCCTTGTGTACAGCCGAACACACGTAAATACGAAGATCTTTGTGAACGACGGATGTTAAAAAAATTGAAACGTATGAGCGTACTGCCAGACTCACAGTACGTGAAAGCGCATCGGATTAATAAGTTTACACACCTTCACCGTTTGGTCTCAAGAAGGATAGTTTTAGTTATTGGATTGAATACTTTAACACTCTGACCACTTATAATCATGGAAAGTGAAAACCATGATACATTTTCCATCTGTTTCCTTATCTCGCGATTGTCGACAATGGTTGCCATCTGTTTGGAACTTAGGGACGTGTGCAAGTTTCATCTCAAAATCCGTAACGAATTCTTAACTGTGAATGCAGCTGGATGGCTTCAGCTTCAATAAAACCCAGTGATTGTGCATCACTGGTGTCAAGTGTCACTTGCTTCCCCTTTGAACCTATCCCACCGCTCTTTTTGCTCACTTGTCATTCACCCTTCTCATTACTGACCGACCTACTTGTTGTTGTTTCATTTTCGATGTGTGCTTCCTCAATCTTAGAGATGGGATAATTTTCGAGGGTCCGAACTGTGCCACACAGATAAGTGTTGTGTGAGCCTGTTAAATTTGAGATGACGTCGTTCAAGCGCTTCTTGGTTAGCTCACCCAATTCATGACGTGGTTGAAATGTCAACTCAATCTCTAATGCGTACGAGAAGATTTTAAATCGAAAAAGCGAAAAAAGAATTTCGACCTTTTAGATGACCGGTGGTTTCTCTCAGAATCTCAAACGTAACCCGCACTACTTTCATTTACGTGCTCAATTACGTTTCCTTATCACTTCCATATTCATCAGAACAAGATTACTTATTGCTATTACAGGATAGGTTGATTAGAGCGCAAGGACGTTGGAACGCTGCTATGCTTCCGTTAAAATACTCGGAGTTTAAATTTTCCCCATGATAAAAAGGATAAAGGTTAATGCTCTCTGCGTGGATCAGTCCCTGAGGGATGCACCATGCATTCGACTTCATTAAACATCGTTTGGGGTGGTTTATTGCATACCTGGCTTTCACAATGACTCGCAGTGGCCTACCGTTGTATCGAGCCAACGCTGCTTTCTTCCCAGACAAGTCTGGTACCAATTTTCCTACTCCAGAGAGATAAAAGGCTTGGAGGGCCATGGGCGCGAGGACCGATTCCACGTGTGTGTTGCAGGGCGCCTCCGACCACTACATCACAAGCGCTCTTCCCTCCACTATGTGGAACATTGTGCAGGAAACGAATTGAAGATGAAAATAACACCCTTTATCAGCTGGGCATACCTGTAAAGCAGCTAGTTAATATTTCTTTTGTAAAGACTGTAAAATTTTAGATCTCTAAAATGTTCTGGTGATCGAGAAACTACCGGCTGTTGTTGAAAAATCGGTGTCATCACGTCAGACATAAAAACTATCTTTTCTTATGTGAAGACCTCGTGTCAGCCAAGTCGTACGGAAAGTCATTTATTGCTCTCGCCGAGGTTTAATGAAAGTCGGTTTTAAGGTAAGTGTGCTTAATCAAAAGCGGATTCTGCATGAACTCATATTTTTCTATAGGTTTCTCGCTACAAAACTCTCGCTCTTGCAGCACTAAAGTTTCGGCAGTTTCTGTCTTTCCTTGCCAGAACAATTCTTACATGTGAATATACCGCACTGAAGGAAACCCATTTCACGAAAACCTACTGATCGAAGGGACTCGATCAAATTTGTTGAATCTCCTATTGCTTGACGCTACACTCTTTTTAAACTGCAATGTAGAGAGTTTGCTTTCGAACTTTGTTCACCGGAACGAATGTTTTGGTCCTAACTTTGTAGCGTATTGGAGGTGGTGCCGTTCAATACGAGCAAAGGGTTGGTTCTACACCACTCTGGCCCACGAAAGCTCTGATTCCTTAGGGATGGAGAGCTTGTTGCAGGCTGCCTGGATAGGTTCTATTACCACTAATCAGCAAAAGATGACTACTAACAGTGACGATGATCTGGCAACGACATAGCAAGGCTATCTTTTTTTGCTATTCGAGGAAAAATTGACTAGGCTAGCATTTAAAGACATTCATGAAGAAAAAAAGAGAGCAGCCAGAATCACAAACAAGAACCCAAAGACCTTCGTGAAATGCGGGGAAATGAATTGAATGTATGACGTGCTGGGATTCTCACAACGTGTAATGTCGAGTCGTGTAAAGGAGCTAAGAACAGAAATTTCAAACTTATGGAGCCCACAGAGTGTGCATTACAAATAAATTTCTCGGCACTCGGTCTTCAAAAAGCTACATTTAACGCGGGAAAAACAATTAGTTCATAGATCTCAATAGAGACAGAATAGCAAAAAAAAAATGCGAAGTCAGCATTCACAATTACGATGATTCTTTAAAGTTTGGCCTTGAAAAGTATGAATAATATAGTAACGACATGCTGGATTGTGATCAATAGATAGTGTAAGACTGAGCTGACAAAAACCAGTTCTGTGGTGAGAATGGCACTGTACGTCGTCTCAAGCCGACGCCTGCAGACAACGCCTCTGAACGTGTAGGTCAGGTTTTCACAATTTTTGAACATACCATTCATTCCATACCATTGAACATACCATTTGAACATTCATTTGAATATTCAGCAAGTTTAGAGCAGTGGTTAAAGGCGCTGTTAAATACACACAGAGTCGTTAGTTTATTCCACACTAAGGGCTAACCAAATCCTACATCCTTCGAGCGTTGGTGAGTTGGTGAAAGAGTTGTTAGAGAGCATAAAGTAACTGGGTTGATACATCAGTAGGCCATCGTAAATCACTATATGGAGCAAATGTGTTGTCAGTCATGTCTGCAATACCTATCATTCTACACTCGAAGCTGTTTATTCAAAAACATGCCACGATTTCTTGAACATCAAAGTATTTGAAAAGACGATAACCAAAAAGATAAGAGAAGAGGCCTTAGTGTATCGCTCTATCACTATACATACCCATATATATATAACTTTGGTAAAATTAAGCCTCAAAAGGTGAAAGCAAAATTTATATTTCCAAAATTTTCTACGTACCATGCTAACTGCAAACTGAATAGTGCATTAGGAAGGCATCTTTTCCCGTTTGACGGAATTTCGGTTCTTCCTTCGTTTTCGCGTTTAACATTCGATCCCTAACTCAGGAATTTGAAAGAGGTGAGCATCTCTTGAGTTAAATGGACTACTTGGCTCCAGAAAATCAGAGAATCAGTGTTTGCCCTTCGTAGAATGAAATAATCTCTATCTTCAGGGCAAGCATCAGCAGTTTTTTCTTGTTGCAACTAAAAAAGTTTAACCTGAGAGGTGATATACTGGTTTAAAGTTGAAAGTGGCCATACTTTTCGCAGGTACTCAATGCATCTATGGCGTCATATGCTAACGACATCGAATTCATGCATCACAAAGTGTTTGATGAACGCAGGACTCCTTTTCATTTATTTTTTACCCATTACTTAGATTTGATGTCAAGCTATCATCATAGGGCGTTAAGATAGTCTCCATGCAATGCACGATACTTTAAAAGTGATCCAACACACATCTGATCGTTACTAGGAATTTCGAAATGTCGAATGCCAATAATAAGTGGTGTACTTAAAAGAGAAACGTACATGCTTACCCTACAAACGTGCTTATGTCCTCACACCTTCATCCAGTGGTAAACCATCGTGTATGGCAAAGTATTATTTCGCTAATAGTCTAACACCGGACTAATGAGCTCGAATGAGCTAAGCTACCTCAGATTTATTTTAAAAATTAGAAAGAGTGATTCGTTATCCACAAGATAACGCATTACAATGACTCAAATTCACATTATATGCCCAGGCACATCTCCCAATGATTTCTTGTATTATGACTACTTACTTACTTAGACGGCCCGTCCTCACTAGTTGTATGGACCCCAGTATAGTCTCCATTTTTCGGAGTTTCACTTGTTAAGCCGTTTGGTTCCCCGGAATCCCGAAGTCAGTCTGCCTAAAGTCTGCCCATTTCGTCACCGCCACAGACACTTGCAGCTCTTATGGATCAGAGGGAGATTTGCCATCACATGACTAGTTTGTTATCAGGACGGTGTTGGGCTCTGGTATTGGTTTACTCTTAGCTAAACTTCTTGATGGAAACGGCGGACAGCTTCTCAGGTTGGGAGGCGCTACTGGGTAATGAATTCCCTCGCTGTACATCGCAATTTGACACCCAAATACACCTCCCAGCCATGAGGCGGTAAACCATTAGAAGGGCCGTTCTATGACTGTCTTATGACAATGTATATCAAGTAAATAAATTGGCAACTTCTTCGGCTCAGATTGGCATAAAATCTTTCATGGTAGGAAACGTTTAAGAAGTTCATTCAAAACACTTCTTTTACCCGTTTCTTTTACCCCTTTAATCAAATCAATTTCTTTCTTAGGTGAAAAATGTGGGTTACGCACACCGAAAAGGAAAATACTTCCAACGATGTGTGCTGAGCTCGCTACAAAGTTTCTTTCCTTCACTTTTTCCTTGGTTGAATTCAAATACAACCTATACTTTATGTTAATAATTATTCATTTGCACATATAATATACTTCCTTATTCACAAAAAAAAATCACGATTATATCGTTAATTAAATTACTTCTCAGTGTTCAATCCATACAGCAAATCGGTGTCGACTTTTGCCGATCCGATATTGAACGGAACTATCTTGACAAAAATCGGAAACTGTGAGTCCTTAGTGCATGGGATGGCGTCTTGATGTGATGAGCACAGAAACAATTTGCACACGGAGCACACATGGGACGGTCGGTTGGTACACTGCAAGATGATGCATTCTCTTGTCGCCCTGAAACTAACACCATCAGAGAAACAGCTAGTGCACCATGATCATTACCAATATGGCCCTATTATGAATTTTTCGTCTCCACATTTCACAGCTTTAAAAAAAAGTTAGGGAAAGCCGACTGGTTTATCCACTTGGCGTCGCTGGTGTGTGTCTTGGATTGTCACAAAATGTGGGTTCAACGGGTTACCCTAGCTGAAGACATGTGAGAACATTTCTTTCAAGGAGTTCAAGGAGCTCACATAACAGAAAGACAAATTCTAGGCATAACCCAAATCCTTATAGCAAAGTAGTTAAAAGGTAATTAATCATTTCCTGCTCAAAGGTTGGGGAAAGCCTGTTGTGATAACCTAGGGACGTATTAGAAAGGCTGCCGTTTCACCTTAATGAAAAAGCAAATAGAAAGATCAGTAGTGTCTGTCTCGTTTAAAGTGACAATATGTGAGGGAATACGAAATTTCGAATTGAACGTGGTGTCATTAGAACCAAGAGATCCTAATCACACCAACCTTCACGAGATCACCCCACAAAAGACCAAAATCTAGGTGACTATCAGAATTCCAATTCAATCTGTACAGCATTTGCGGGCGAACAACTAGTGTTCTCTGATAAACTGATTAAAGCAGTCCGCTACGAGACTTCCTTTTACAGAATTATTTTAGTCCAATTTGACGACAGAACAGAAAAAGCCAATGAGAACGATTGTAGGTGGATAGCCCTGAAAGAGGAGCTGAAATCATGACGAGAAATGTTTCGCTAAGCTTCCACTAATCGCATCCTTGTTTCATGAGAATTTATTCTTCATGAAGAAGGAAATCGCAAGAAAAATGTGATGGGCAACCAACCTAATGGCATAACTCATATGGGAATGGACCATATCTCCACTTTTCAAGGGAATACAAGTAGTAACTGGCACCTTTTTGTGCCATCTTTTAACCACAATGAGTCGATGAGGCCTACCACATTGTTGAATCGGTAAAAGAAAAAGTATAAAAATAAGTTATAGAGGGTAATGTGTTTGGCATTGACCATTTTCTTGAGGGATGGGCCATTCTTTCCAAACTATCAAGTTCCGTAGAAATTATTGAATGAGTATCTAGCCAACCGTGCATCATCGATGTACAAAGGAAGTACAAACGTAGGGATGTATCGATGTCTCGCTGCATTCCTACGCTTGTACTAAAATACTACAAAACTTTATTTCGGCTAACATTTTATCGCATTCATCTTTTTCACCGCCTGTGATTCTTGAGGTTGTAAACAGCCAAAGATTTTTGTCATGTGGCTCCTCATAGGCGCATCGAATCGCATCCAGTGCAATGGAGCATCACTCGACTGGTTATTCACATTCAGCTATAATAAATGGTGTGAAAATAGATAAAGCAAATGTCTTCATCCTACCACGCAAGACTGGTACCTCTTTGCGGACACTGAGGAGGTGAAATATTTAGTGGTGACTTATACCGTCGCAAATTTGTTGGAGAGTTCTCATTCATTAGTCCTTTGCTACTACATTATTAAATAAGAACCACGCACACGCTGTCAACAGGCGCGTATTCATTTCCAGTCATCATTAGTTTCTAGTTTAGTTAGGTTTAATCAATTCCAACCGCTATAGAGTGCGTGAGGCGCAGTGGTCGGAGGCGCCCTGCAACACGTACCCGGGATCGATCTCCGAGCCCGTGGGTCACCAAGCCTTTCATCTCTCCGGAATCGACAAGTTGGTACCATACTTGTCTGGAAGGATAGTAGCACTAGCTCGATACAACGGTAAGCCACCGCGAGTCATTGTATAGGTCACGCATGAATTCAATCACCTCTAATGATGCTTAATGAAGTCGAATGCGTGGCGCATCGCTCAGGGATTGAACAACGCCAAGAGCTTTTTATCTTCACCTTTAATTTCAACCGCTCAGCTTTAATCTCAAGTCACCTATGTATGCACTTAATACCTGCACTCAAAACAGACTACAGTGTCTGGCTTCAAGAATTCGACTACTTTTACGCTGGGATAGGTGCCAAACCCTAATAGCACATCTTTCCTACGAAAAATAGCCCTACTAATTTCTGTCTATTCTTTTTCTCATGGAAGGTACGCATCACATCAAACACCACAATGTAACCTTTGTAATCTTCTCGATCAATTATGTACAGTGTTTCAGGCACAATAGCGATTCAGGTTTGACTTCAGTAGCATAGCGACGATGGCTTATCCGAAGGAGGCGTAACCATAGAACAGTTTACTTCTTCCTTGCGAAACAACGAAGCTAATGACGTTTGACGTCTCAGGCAGTTAGGTACAGTCTATTGCGGTCCAGGATCAACAATCCAGATTAACCGCGGTTGCATACGCTCGCGGCTCCCGCAGCCGATATAAGCCAGGTGCCTTCGACGGCGGAGACATGCCATCACTCACCTTACCCCGATCGGTAGCGCGGATAATCCGCTCCGCACAACCACATCCTCAATCATCCTCAATCACCTCAACTCATTCTTAGTCATAGTCATTCATTCTTATTCAATCACATTCATTCAAATATTCACATTCATCCTTCAGTAATCAGCAGATTATTGTATCTCGTTTCTCAGCTTGTCTACGGTGCGATGTCAGTAGTGGCGGGTGTTACCAAATGCATTCTGTTTGCAACGCCATCGGTGGCATGTACCATTCCTCCCACAATGTACACGCAATGTGTACAATGCCGCTAAGCGGCCAACTTATGCTACGTATTCTACTAAGCCGCTATAGGCTTATCAGTTTTGTAGCCATTTATCATACTGGCCCTTAACCCTTAGGCAATGGTGGCACCCATCGATGCTCAAAGTTCACGTTGCTGACATAGCGTTATTCACGACCAGCCGCCTGACTGTGTTCCGTAGATGACTCATCATTCACTGTCCATAGCACCGTCAACGCTCATGTAACTTACAGNTTCATCCTTCAGTAATCAGCAGATTATTGTATCTCGTTTCTCAGCTTGTCTACGGTGCGATGTCAGTAGTGGCGGGGGTTNCCATCGGTGGCATGTACCATTCCTCCCACAATGTACACGCAATGTGTACAATGCCGCTAAGCGGCCAACTTATGCTACGTATTCTACTAAGCCGCTATAGGCTTATCAGTTTTGTAGCCATTTATCATACTGGCCCTTAACCCTTAGGCAATGGTGGCACCCATCGATGCTCAAAGTTCACGTTGCTGACATAGCGTTATTCACGACCAGCCGCCTGACTGTGTTCCGTAGATGACTCATCATTCACTGTCCATAGCACCGTCAACGCTCATGTAACTTACAGTCCTCATCGATCCACTAAAATGCTTGTCATCGCTATAATGTTGAAATCTTAGCTTGGCCGAAACATAGCCAGTCTGTAACCCTCACCACCTCAGCATATTGCCTCCATCTCCGCGGCATACAGTCTCCTCCCTCCGCCCCCAGCATACTGTCTCCCTCAGCCGCCGCGCCGACCGCGAATAGACGCGGCGCGGCATCGCTTACGGCTAAGCAAAGGCTACTTCGTTGTAATCTCATTATTATTGTTAATATTGTGTTAATGGTATAATAATGTTTGAATGCCATTGCCTCATTGTTATCCTCACTTCACTACAGGCCTTAGCACCTCAGAGCTCTAACTTGTGTCATTCCTCTACCATTACTTCTCTATCGTTACTATCATGTTATTAGTGTTGTATTTATGTATTAACGGTTTAATTACCCAAGTTTGAGGCTTGGTAGATCAACTACAGCAACTAAAAGACCCGCGTGGCTAATATTCTACATCAATCTGAACCGCTACACTTCGCCGCTAACCATTTCGTTACAACTGCTTCATCGTCTGTTCCACAGACGAACAGAGGAATGAGTGCTTTGAACTGTTAAACCGACAATCAGAGTGTATAAAATTTACACCAGAAAAACCAACCAAAAACTGGCTTCCATTCTTAAACATCCAAATAAAGCTCTCAGAAGGTGGCTATGTAACAAATTGGTATCGCAAGCGAAGTAGCAAAAACATACTGGTTCACTACGTCTCCTCTCATCCTTCACACATGAAAAAAGCACTTATCAAAATCATGTACCGTACGGCTAAAAATGTTTGTACAGGAGAAAAGGAAAAGAAGGATTCGCAAAACCTGGCACGAAAAATTGCCATTTTCAATAGCTACGAAGTAGAAGCCACACAGGTTAGAGGAGAACGTTGGGTAGTTTCCCAAAATATTTCGGACGTAAGTAAGATCCGATCCGCTTTAAGCTACCCTTCATACCAAATGAAGTAAGTTAGGCCATTAAGAGGTGCTTAAGAAAAAGTTGTCTTGAAAACTATGTAACGATTATTTACATCCCACCCAATAGCTTACGTCGTCAGTTCGCTAGCAACCACCCCTATGATCGTTTGTGCAGCTCAGAAAACTGTATGATCTGTCCTAATGGGAGAGACGAGGATTGCATGAATTTAGGTATAGTATACTTAATTTCATGTAAAGCATGCGGTGAGGAATATATTGGTGAAACGGGTAAACCACTTTGTGTCCGCATAAAAGAACATCTACATGGAAAAGTTAAAATCCGTCTAAACACTCCTCTAGGTACGCATAGGGCACAAAAGCACAACGGCGACGATTTTGAAGTAACTGTGTGAAACCTAGCGCAGGAATCAAAAACATCAACGCGCAGAATTCTTGAGGCGTTTTGGGTAAATTTCAAAAATTCAAAGATGAACCGGAAAGATGATTGCCTCACTATCACACGTGACCTGGTGCCCTATTTAAAAATGATATTTTGACCCCGGAGTGTGTCTTGCTCGCGACTTCACGTGAACTACGTGTGGGCCAGTCCCCACGTAACATCACGGTGAGTGGCCTTTCCGTTCAATATGGCGTCTATTTGAAAGTTTGATCTTCATTAATACTTTAGCCTTTTTTTCTACCGAATAATTAAAGTATTCTAATACAAAATATGTCCAGACTCTGAGGAAGGCGAAGTCGCCGAAACGTCAGCCATCGACCAACAACATCAACAACAACGACAACGACAACGAAGACCTATACTAACCTCGCATCAGCTTAAGAAGATCGGTTTATAAGACCACGTAGACAAACACAAAAAGTAAAATATTGTGATTTTTTAGTCCTTCGAAAAAAGTTGTGGGCCTAAAAGTTCAATAGTTAGAACTGCTAGCTAAAGAAAGTGATGACGGCTCATAAATTTTAAATGAAGCTTACCGGCCAATTTCTTTTCAGGCGTCAGGAAACGAGAACCTTCTTTGAAAAATTTGTAGAATGCACTTACTTATTAGCCACCGAGGACAAGCTGTGCGCGAATTTCTTCACAACTATTTTATCCTTTGGAGCTGCTGAGAATAGAGCCGCTATGGTGCGACGATCCGTGATCTGAATGAGGATCACATAAGCAGCCAAGACGAACTAGCACATTCCGAGCAAGAAATAGTGTGGTTCCAAAAAAGTCTCGTGACCACACCGATTATTAAAAAATAGGAAAATTTTATGCTCTTGAAGGCTCAACTTAGAACCAAACGATCTGTTTCTTCTCTTGTCGTTAGAAAGTGCTCTAGAAACCCCAGAAACATGAAACAGAACTGACGCATAGTTTCGCGAAACGCTACTTCCGACGTAGCTATTTTATTGATTTTAATGAGTAAATATAAGTGTAACAAAACTGGACTACGGTATCTCACTTTACTAAGCATTCCTTGTTGATCAAGAAATGCCTGACCGAAGCCGGCCAGACGAGAGATCAACTGTTCGGTGCTGCGCTCAAAACCGTGCATGAAGGCGATTTCCAGAAGAGCGAATGTCGTCTCGAACGAATGACAAAATCGTGGAAAACGAAATACTGAAGTAAAACACATGACTTTCTTCAATACGAAACACCACGATTTTCAGAAATTTTTGCAGAAAGATAGAAGTAACCATTGAAGTAATTGTCCACAACCACAGTACCGCTTTTTCGCTGCTGAAATGAGGTTCTGGATATTGCCCGATAATGTATAAAGGATAAAGCTCTCGGCGTTGACCAATCCCTGAGGGATTCGCTATGCATTCGACTTCATCAAGCATTGTTCGGAGGTGACTGAATGCATATCTAGCCTTTACAATAACTCGCGGTGGCCTACCAATGCATTGGGCCGGTGCTGCTATCCTTCCAGAGAAGTCTGGTACCGATTTGCCGAACCCGGAGGGATGGAACGCTTGGTGGGCCATGAGAGCGATGATCGATTCCACGTGTGTGTCGCAGTGGCGCCTCCGACCACTGCGTCACACGCACCCTCCGGTACTGTATAGAGCAGGTTGCTTTAACGGAAGTGTTTCCTGAGGTGAGAAGAAGGTCGACACTTCTATTAGGATAACTTTTTTCCCCAGGAGTAAAAAATGTCATCGCGATAAAACTACGACGATCTCAGTGCATATTGTGCGACTCTGGCGCACTACGGGGACAACTGGACCGAATAACTAGCACTAATATATTAGCAAGTAAATTTCAGGGATTTCATGGTAGCATTAGTATAAATACGAAACAAAATTAAACAAGGATCTGAAACCAGTTTAAGAGGCCTGAAAAATACTGAAACCCAAGAAGGTAAACGTTGGACAAATAGTAGTCAATATCGCAGTCGCTAGCGGAATATAGGCCTTCGAGTCAGTTCTCGACACCGAATAACCACTAGCTTTAAGCAGAATGATCGACTTCATGAGAAGACGCCACGCGAGACTTTTCGTAGTTGACACAAGGCAACACCTTTCGACACTCAAACTTGGGATTAAATCTTTTTATATATAAGAGCAACACCAGTACAATAGGAATAACGATGGAAGGATACTGGCGTAAGAATAAGGCAATCAAGTCGAGAGTAAGACTCTTCAAGATCTTGCCAAGTCCAAAAAAGGCGGTGCTAGTCTGGGCGTGGATACGTCCAAGCGAGTCGTTGGTGGTAGTGTCAAGACCCAGGCGGCGGGGCCCATTCCCCAAGCAATAACCTACTCAGCAGCATGCCCGGTAGTGTGACCGGTGGCCACGTGATGCTGTGTTTAGTGGTGTTGTGGCAAAGGCCCTCTCCATTAGCCCATTGAATGTGTCTGCTAGGTAGGTAGAGAATTTTGATACAGGAATTGTCTATACGAAGTTCTTTAGGATGGGATCAAAATACTTATGTACTACGACATTTGCCAGGTAACATGAGAAACAGTAGAACTGATCCTTACTACAGAAACATGCAGTAATGGAAAGAAATAGTAACTATTCCGGGGATATGTAATGCCCCCCGGTAAGGACAACAGCGCGTGTTCGTTCCCCACCGTATACACCTGGTCTGGAGTTTTGCAAATTTCTCAGCATTACATACGAGTTATATTTCGCAATATAACCTGCCATTAGGAAGAGAAAAGCAGTAAATAAATGGGTTAAGATTCCGGGGATAGTTGCTATAGTTAAAAAGTATTCCTAACTCACATAAAAATTCGCTGCACTTCGCCCTCAGTGAAGGAATGTGCCAAATGTCAGAATAACGCATCATAGTTCCACAACTTTTCTCTGAAACACTTCAGCTATGGGTGTTTTTACTCATAAAAGCGGTTTTCTTCTACACTTTGCACTTCTTTTACACTTCTATACGCTCTTCTTTACACTTCTTTTTACACAAATATCCTTTAACCTGGAGACTTTTTCATGCTTTCCTTACCCTCAAATATGTTGTAGATCTGGAATACACCACCACTCTCATACATTGGAAACTATTAAGGGCAAAAATAAAGGCTCAATTGAACGGAATTCGTCGGCTAAGTGAATTGACAATTGAGCAGTTTTATTAGGTATTATAACAGATATTATTTAAATCTCCGCCCTAAATGGTTTGCACCCTCATTGGAGTGTGACTGTGGGAAATCACGTGCATCAACCCGGAATCTAAAATGAGTATTCCATCTCAAAAAGGGCCAACGAGGCTAATAAGCGCTTCAACTTTTTCATCCGAAATTTCGCCCTATCGTCGGCTGTTGGTGAAAACTTACGTCATGTCAAAGGTCGGAGAGTTATCCTTGGCTATCTTCTTGACAAAAACAATAGAAACAAAGGAGTCGCACCAGAGGCTTGGTGATCTTCGGCTCCTTTAATTGAGCTAGAGTAGCCAATGAGCAGCTGCTGTGCGCTACTAGATGTAATGAAGTCTCCATGGTGTCCATCGAACTAATTGATAAATTACTGGGCTACGGGAGAACGGTGAATAGCAGATTATTGTCCAAATCCATTTTTTATTTGATTTAAGTATAAGAAGTGGTCTTATTACCGGGTTTCCCAGAAGGTGTTACAAGACTGTAGGTTTCAGCCTGTTTTTGCTTATTTGAAATAATTTTCGAGGCTTGATTAGTTGTAAGTGAGTAAAGGTCTTAGCATATTTCTAATGAGTAGCATAAAATGCTGGTCTGAGCTGGAAATAAAGCCTACTAACCCACTCACTCACTTTGAAACCTATTTCACTAAAAATTCTTCTTCAAGCCTTTTACAGCATCTGGTAGCAAAAACATGTGCGCAGTATGTAATTCTGAAGATGTTCACCACTCTTACCCAAGTGGTAATGAACCAAAGTAAATTGGTCTTTGGACGACGTAGAAGATTCTGGTTCCTTTCATTTGGAAAGCTCCGCTAATTTACTCCAAGTAGCAACTTTTTGAATCAGGCAGGCTTATACTTCCACGAAATGATTTAACGCTTATGGAGCAAACTCAAGCTCAACAGCGACATCGTCTACTGCTGAATTATGTTAAATCGCATGCTACACCTTATATATGACACCAATAAGACACATCCCAACAATCTCCACTTCTGTTCTCAATTCTCTAAAAGCTGTCGTAGATAACGTAGTGAAGAAAAGTAAAAATTGGCCTTGTGTGTGAATCATTGTGGACCCCGATGGCTACGCGTTTGAGGCATTGTCCCGTTATCGAACCTCATCGCATACACGAGAAAAGTTCTATTATAAAAACACTGAATAAATAATTAAATTTTAAAGTTTTTTTAACCTATAAATAACACTGGTGGGGGAGGCGGATTGCTCAGTGCTTATGATGCCGTTCATCACGAGCACGGTGCTGGGTTCGATACCACACTGTACTCAAGAAACCCTCCATCCAGCAGGGTTCTGAGAATCGGTTACCAAACTTGTCTAAAAGAAGTTCACACCCTTCACTCTATGTGGGTCAGCTATCCCGGGACTCCGAGAAGAGACGATTCCACCAGCACACAAACAGCATTCATGAAGAAGACGGAAATCCATGAATTGTAGTCGAATCCACACACAATAGTTTGACGACGTTTTTGAACGATGAATGCTAGAAAACGAATCGAACGAAGAAGCTTTTGGGTTCGCGCAGCAGATATGAGGATGGATCATGTAAAAAGAACAGCACAAGAAGCTCGATCGTTGATGTGGGGAGATGCAGTAGTCAACCATATGCGATTCTGATCAGCGGCTCTTCCTCAGTGGGAAAGCACGTAAAAACGGTAGGTTTTCGGAGAAGTCGTAAATCTTGTAATTGTCGTTAAGATTTTCATCTTTCTGATTGTGCTGTTGAAGCGACCTAGTAAGTTACGTATTAGTGTACCCTTCCAAGCTCTGAAAGGGCGATTCTGCCGAAGCGTCAGCTACGATTGTGTTGTATGTGTCTTATTCTATGGAAGTAAACGTATGCTGTTTAACAACGTCATGATTGCTGAGAGAAAAAACGACGAATTTATAATCCAATGCCGAGATTACTAGAAAGCCCTTCCTGGGAACTAATACAAAAAGCGTTGGTGTCGATTCCTACTCCTGAACCAGACTCGTTAATGTGACCAACCTAGGTGAACCCTCCATAAATCGCACTGCTCAGCTGCTATATTTTGGTTACTCTCAAAAACTGCTTACAAATGAAAAATTTTCACACTTAGCCCCAAGTCAAAAGGGAGGTCGAGAAGTTCTTTACTTTCCTGCATGTTATGGAAAGTAGGAATCCAGTAATGTCAAAAGGCTCACTAACTGTTATTAGATAATTTTCATGGTGAAGGCGACCATGACTGCATAGTAAGTAGACGGTTTTGATACACCAATAAACATATCATATTTTAAAGTGCTGTACTGTCTTGAGGCACTTTTACCTATTGCTGCTATTTTTATAAAACGAAATAATTAGAAGAATGTCATAATGATACTGAGGAATGAGCAAAATTCGGAACGCCAGGTGGGCTTCGAACCCACGACTACCCTTTTAAAGGGCTGACGTATTCCACAGAACTCAAATCGCAGAGTACCCGCGGTTGTATTTCGCATAATACCCTCCCATGGAAAAAGCTAGGCAGAAAATAAAAGTTGAACATTATGATTAGAAGACACTTACAAACCTGTAATTCTTTTTTTTCCACCCGGATGAACAATTTCTAAAAAGAGAGAGACATCCTTCGCTGTTTCACCCTCGAGTGTGATCAGCTTTTCGCGTGCCTCAGCAAACTCTCCGAAAAAGGCAGCGTCGAAAAACGATGAAATTTCACCCAGGAAGTGCCCATTGACATAGAACGTCGTTCCTAAAACCTTTGGTTGTTAAGTAGCATAAAATGGGAAGTAGGCATAGAAAAAGAGTTCACTCAATATTGCAGAGACGAGTGAATAAATATTTGGCCCGTAAAAAAGACTTGCGGGGATTGCTGATTTATTAAACCAGTATTTTCTATTCACCCAGGCAACACTCGCACCCATCTGCTAATCTCGAAGAAACAGTACAGGGTCCTCAGCTAGCCTACGGCATGTGATCGAACAAAACACTTGTAACTTAACACTCGAGAGACTATGGGTAACTACTCCAAGTGTTTCGTGACTAAATATTTTCTCTGCAATAATGGAAACCAGCTTTTCTCCACAAAAAAATTTTTTGAGTAAAAACTCGTATAAAACTTTCCCGAAAACGTCATGGAGTTTCCGTGTATGTGATCTTTACTGGCTACCATAGTTCTGGTCTTTGTAACCTTTTTACCTCCTTACAACTTGTTTTGGTGAAAGATCAATAAAGTTCACAAGCACCATAGGTGAAGATAAATACATTTTTTGTGTATGAACTAGTAGTCAATCACCCTTGGTTTCTCCTTGAAGATGAAAAAGAATGAAAGGGTAAAGCTCTCGGCGTTGATCAATCCCTGAGGGATGCGTCATGCATTCGACTTCATTAAGCATCTTTGGAGGTGATTGAATGCTTATCTGGCCTTTACAACGGCTCATGGTGGCCTACCGATGTATCCAGCCAGTGCTACTATCTCTCCAGACAAGTCTGGTACCAATTTGCAGACCCCGGCGGGATAGAAGGTTTGGTGGGCCATGGGTGCGGGATCGATTCCATCTGTTTGTGCGCCACACACGCCCTTCTCCCTAAAGATATATTATGTAATTAAAAAACGCTTCAAATATTGTTGTGATGGCCTGTACTTAATAGTTTTGCCTAAGCGGCTTTTAATGTCGCCTCTGACTCCAAGATCGATATAGCTAGCTGAGAGACAGGCGAAACGAAGGATCCGCATGGTGTGGTGGTGAACGCGTTACTCCCCGGAAAGGACAATAGCGCGTTCGTTCCCCACCGCAAGCACCTGCGGTCCAGAGTTTTCCAAATATCTTAGCACTATAATAGTTAAAGTTCAAATGTTTCTAATGCATTTAACGGTTGCAAAGCAGCCATTATGGTGACCATAAGCTGAGCTAATCAATAATCTTTTAGGCTTATTGATGAGCATGAAGTCGTTACAAATCCTTGCTATGTCATTTCCGCGGTTTCGTTCTCATCAACCTCGTATTAGCTCATCGATAAACCAAAACATTGATTTTCAACACCGAGGTTCAATGAAGGTCACATTTGAATGTTTGCTTTGTTATATACCAGCTCATAATAATCTAAATGCTGCAGGATTCATTGTCGCCGAAGCAGTCGCTGAACGATTCTCATGTATCCCGGAGAGCTGTCGAATAAGGTCAGGTCACATCAAAGTGGTTAGGGTTCTGTATAACGGGGCGGCACTTGGGAAGTTGCTTCATTCGTACAGTACTACGAGGACGGAGACCTCCATTGAAAGAAAAAGCAAAAGGCGTGGATAATCGACTCGAATCACCGTGGTTCTAATTAGAATGACAACGTTGATACGTTATCAATGACAATTTTTATAACAGATTCGTTTAAGCTCACCAATTAGCTAAAACATTGATTTTCCATGGTGAGGCTAAATGAAAATCGGAATTGAGTGTAAGACGAGCACTAAGTTGGTCATAACAAAGCCCGAATTCTTGAATTTATCCATATGACAATGGGTAGTCAACGATTGAACTAAGCATTGTAAGCCCGAGTTTCGTCCGAGGTTTTTGTGAAATTCAGAATTCCGCAATTCGCCTATCGATGGTTGCACTTGGAGCACTTGATGGTGTGGGTGGCAGTTTGCAGAGAAACCCCTCCTCGTTCGCACAGACGGAAACAAAACACCAGCCGTTGCTCCGCTCATGCCAGTTGGAAGACCAAACAGGTTTCTAGTGAAACTCAAAATCAAGGTTCTATCGTCCTATTTGTCCAAGTCAAACTTTGAATTTAACTGGTAGTTTGACAAGCACTGGGGTACGTGACAGATAAACTTGATCGATCGATTAGTCAAACGATAGCAAATCAGAACTAGAGGGTTCTCATCCTTGAACTGCTTCTAGGATGTGTTCACGAAAAAGTGATAAATA